AAGTCACAGTATCTTGCTTCTTTTGGAACAGCTTGAGAAATGCAGGGAGTTTCATGAATAATAAACAAATATTGTCCTATTCCATGCATTTTTTGTGAAATCAAAGAGAAATCTGCTGAGAAAGGATACCAGGTAGATATATTTCTGTCTACTTAGCTCTGCAGGAATGCTCAGCTTTAGTTGGTCTGTACCCAAAATGCTTAGCTATAGTAGTCATGATGCTAATGAGTTGAACACTGAGGTTACTTTCCTATATATTAAATAGAAAGCACTGGTTTAATTTACTTATATATAGAAAAATGAATGCTTTGTGTTTCTTTCTGTCCATTTCAGCCTTGCAAAGATTTTAGGAAAAGACATATTCATCCTACATGCACTATTTTAATTGACCTATAATACCTATAATGGAGCTGCAGAACTTAAGAAGCACAACTTTTGCTATTGGTAAGAGTACATGATAGCCAAGGGAAGCAACATCATGCTATTAGATATAGAAACTTGAGTTGAATTAAAAAAGAAAACATAGATCATAGCTGGAGAGAAAGATGGGAAGAGTATAAGAGTTGTAATCTATCCAGAAACAATTCTGTTCATAAAAGGGACTATTTGTAGCTTAGGGTTGATCTTGGTGCTTTCTGAGCTTGGGGGGTTTGTACCAAACTAATTAGTTCTATCAAACTAATTAACAGCATCAGCGCACTGAAGATGTTATCTAGTTTGGTAATGAAACTTCTGCAAGAATGTCCATCAAGCTCAGAGAGCAGCAAGGACTCCACAATTCTGTTCACTTCACATGGAAACATTCCTAGATTTATTTCAAATTAATAAGAAACATACAAATATCTGCATTTTTCCACATTATTTCTATTTCCAGGTGGCTAGGTGCAAATAATTCACCATTATAATCCATTATAATATGATTTTTACAAATGCAGTTCTAATTAAGGTTATAGAATTGAATTACAGCATTTCAAAAATGCCTCCTTGTGGGTACACCTTCATTTTATCTAATTATGCTGGTTCAAAAGTAATCAATTAGGAAGCTTCACAGTCAACTGTGAACTCAACAAAGAGGAATGGTACTCAACAAAATTCCACAGGACATTTAGGAAAAATTGATGGAGAGATGCTCAGTTGATAAGCTATTTTGACTCCAATTTGTGGCTGTAGGTAAAGGGGAAAAGAAATGCAAATACATGAAGTCTCTACAAACAGAACTTCAAAGAGCAAAAACACATAAGAAGGACAAAATGGATTTTTTTCCTTACTTCCCATATGCAGCGAAGAGCTTCACATTTTTCTTTTGATGCACGTTCTTCAGGATGACAGTCAAATTTGTCGATATCTCTTAAAGTCTGTTTCCAGGATATTGTATGTTCTTCCCCCAATTTAAGATGAAGACCAGTTATATGAGCAACCTATGAAATTCACAATAAAAGCCAAAATACGGATCATATAAATATCCCATGTAAATCACATGTGTAACCATTTTTTTTTAAAAGGGTATCACTACATTAATAAATAACAGCTTTATGTCTTTTTATTGGTAGTACAAAGGCCATAAGGAAATATGAACAAAAGCATATTCTAGAAGCAGCATATTAAATAGAAACATTTTTGTAGTCTAGTATGACTCTTAGGGAAACCTGTACCTTTTTATTTGTTAAATAATGTACAACTGGCAATATTAATCAACTGAAGAAACTGACTTGCTGACAAAATATTGAAGGAGCAGACTGTAATTCAAAGGGATTTGCAAGGCAAAAGGTGATACACAAATATTCTGGGGGCCTCTTCAAGGTGTGTGTGACCAGTGAGAAGGCAGTTATTTTAGGAAAATGCTGAGACCAGCAGTACTGGGAAAATATTAACTTATGCCGCATAATCAAATTAGAAGTGGCTGTATGAGTATTAATTTCAAAATCCTACTAGCCACCTGGTTATGAATATTAAAGTTGACTACATTAGTCTCAAAATGTTCTCCTCAGTTCAATAGGTGAAGTAAAGAGAAATATTGAATGTATATTGAACTCCATGTCTCTTTTTGCATCAATCTTTAAAAGATATATCAAAGTTCAAAGTAACAACAAAACAACAAAAAGTAAGAATAAAATTCTTAAAATAAGGTGGGCTGTTGTTGTTGTTGTTGTTGTTTGGTGCCAGTCAGTTTGATCTATATGGTTTGGCTCATGGCCTAGCAGTTAAGATGTTGGGCTTGTCAACCAGAAGTTCGAGACACAAGCACTGCATGATGGGGTGAGCTCCTGTTCTTGCCCCAGCTCTTGCCCACCTAGCAGTTTGAAAGCATGCAAATGCTAAAGGAATGTATTCTTGAAACATTATTATTGACTACATTATAAATCTAGTAAATATACACTTAGAGCTTATTTTTGAATAGCAAGTGATATTATCTGTAGGGAAAAAAACTTCATTAAAATTTATGAAAACACTCAGCAATGTATACCTTGTCTGCAGCATTGTACTTGACACTCAAGTTATATGATTGAGCCTCATTATTTGAGGTCACTTTCACATCTGAAGGCTCAAGGGGTAACCCAATAATCTTGATGTTCTCAAATATCAGATTATTTGGATCTATATAGCCTTTATGTTTCACTGCCATAGTTAAGACTTTCTGGAAGACAGCAAAATCATTACACAACACTTTTGTTAACTGATCTTAGTTATAATTTTCTATGATATCTCTTAAAGCTAAAATCATGTAATTAAGAAGTAAACAATAGCTTGTTGTAAATACGGTACAATCAACATCCCTTGGAAGAGAAAATGTGTTACCATCATGCAATCTAATTGCTATAATGAAATGAGTTTTCTCTAGCATTTAAGTTCAGTAAGATTCCCCCAATACTAAACCCGTTGATCATATTTATTACAAATTAGGGAACTGTTTAAATAAGATTTAGAGATGCAGAAGAACAGTAAGGATTTATGAGGAAAATAAATTAGAGCTAGAGATAAAATAAAATAAAATATTAATTTACCCAAGACTGTTCACTATAGTCACCCTATAGCTTTCNGCATTTAAGTTCAGTAAGATTCCCCCAATACTAAACCCGTTGATCATATTTATTACAAATTAGGGAACTGTTTAAATAAGATTTAGAGATGCAGAAGAACAGTAAGGATTTATGAGGAAAATAAATTAGAGCTAGAGATAAAATAAAATAAAATATTAATTTACCCAAGACTGTTCACTATAGTCACCCTATAGCTTTCTATCCGTGCAAACTATCTGTACATCAAATATGCACTCACTTTTATGTATATTGTATTAAATTAACCACTCATTCTCTACTCTTGCTCTGATACACAAATCTTAAATATCCTTTATTCTGCTATTCCATATAACAAAGTAGGCAGGAATATACTTACATTAAAAAAAATACTTCTTTCAACAAATATTCATTCTTCATAACAGGCCACATAGTGTCCACTACCTTTCTTTAAGAATTTACATATTTCAAACATATTTATTCAGTTAAAATTAAATGAAATTTCTGGGAATCTCCGTCACTAATGAAAATATACTTACATTGGTGACAGTAAAGTTATATAAGAGATACTTTTTATTTGCCACTGTATCTAAAACATAAGTAAAAATATATTTTAAGTAATATTAAAGCAAGTTAATCAAAATATTTTAAATATTTATGTATTACATGTAATAAATATATATTATTAATATTCTGAATGCTATTGGGAAATCTGCTCATAATTTGTCTTGATGTCTGTCTAAATATCTACCTATAGATAATCAAACAGATGGAACAATAAAACATAATATCAATAGAACAATCGAAAGAACTGTCGAATAAATAGATAAAATATACCCCAAGCTAAGATAAATTTATATAAAATTTTCTATAGATCAGAGGTCCCCAACCTTTTGGGCACCAGGGACCGGTTCCGTGGAGAGAGGTTTTTCCATGGACCAGTTGGGGGAGTGGTTTTGTGTGCTGCCTGCATCCTGCGGATGGGGCTTTGCTTGTTTGTGCAGACCAGGGGTTGTGCAGACCCTGCTATAGATGGTATATAACTGTCAATAATGGACAAATCATACAGCAATAAATGTTAGAAATGCCATAACAAGAAAGAATATTTTATATCCCACCAATTTTGATGACATGCTGCTGAAATTCAGTGGTTTGATTCTAGGGTGTGAGAAAAGGACCAGAGGCTACAAAACTTTATCTGTCATAATACACATCTTATATGCTTTACCTAGCATAATTCCTAATTGAAGACATTGGTGTTTGGGAAAATGTGAGTGTGAATCTATCTAAACTTTAAATCCTGAGGTCATCAGATCGAATTAGCTGAACACCTCCATTTCAAAATAAATTCTAATATGGACAGTGAATTCCTATTACATTCAAGATAATTTTTATCTAATTTAATTGAAATATATAACAGAAAAAAGTGTCCCTTCCTCGAAAATGATCTAATTAACAATAAAGTCTGTTCATGGTGAAAGAAGAGATTTTAAAAATTATTAACTAGTAAGAAATGACTTGTCCAGGTCAGTATTTGACAAATGGATTACTGAAAAAATAAACTACTAAAGGTGTCTTTTTTTCTATTCTGAAGATGTTACCCACTGAATATTTTTGAAATAGAAGACATTTTTCCCATAATAACCTTTTGTAAAACTATGTGACCCAAACTGCTTTATTATACAGAGCAGACAATATATGCCTATTACAATTCTAGACATACACTTAATTGCTAAATATGATCTGCTCTTAACAGAAAAAAAGTAGAAAGTTTGCTAGCAAATTCTAAAGTGCAGTTACTTTTGATCATAAAATCATTGCTCATACATTTTCTAAAAGAAAGAGATAACATTTTATATTGCTTTATTTTTAAATTAATGCAATGAAGATCTGCTTATTTTAGATCTTGGAAAAAGAGTTCAATATCTTTGTAGTACAATATTATCTGCATACCTTAAAGGCATTCAGTATTCATTGCAGTAATTATCACCCAGTTTGTTCTGTTTCTTTTTTTAAAAAAAAATCCTCTCGTTATTTTGCTGGCTTTTTTAAATAACCATTGGTGACCAACAAGATTATATATGATGCAACACAGAGGTCTTTGATATCAGGGAGAAAGGTAATTTAAGAAACACAGAGATAACTGTTATTTTGCAGCACTTTAGAAACCATTACTAGCAAGCAAATAAACTGTTGAATTACTGTTAAGCACTAAGACATCTGAGAATTTGCTAAGAATTCCCATATCTCCATAAATGCCACTGCTACAAATCAGGAGTTTCAAATACCAATAAAGGAGAGTAGTTGCATCTCAGTGTTGAAATGAGGGGTCCTTGGCACTTCCTGAGCTTGGTTGTTTTCTTGAAGAGGTTTCATTACCCAAACTAGGTAACCTCTCGGAATCATTAGATATGAGATGGGCAGCAAATGAATTTTACGAATAAATAAATAAACACCATCAATGCTAGTAAGGAATGGAGTTTGCTCTCAGTTTATATTCTGGTGGCTTGCCCTGTCAGCAGTGATGATGCTACCTAGTTTAAGTAATGAAATGTCTGCAAAAAAACAATCAAGCTCAGAGAGCACCAAGAATCCCTTGTTTCCAAGTAGTTTTGATAAGATAAGGTTATTGGGGAAGTTACACTGTTAATGCTGAAACACTTGAACATGTAAATGCCCATAATGTTAATTTTGAATTTAACATACTGAAGATATATCTCCATGATTATTTGCATAATTTGTTTTGAAATAGAAAAAAAATATTTGCTTGCCTACCTCTATTACCTATCTATCTATCTATCTATCTATCTATCTATCTATCTATCTATCTATCTATCTATCTATCTATCTATCTATCTATCTATCTATCTATCTATCTATCTATCTATCTATCTATCTATCTAGCTAGCTAGCTAGCTAGCTAGCTAGCTAGCTAGCTAGCTAGCTAGCTAGCTAGCTACCTAGCTACCTAGGTAGCTATCTAGCTAGCTACCTAGCTACCTAGCTACCTAGCTACCTAGCTAGCTACCTAGCTAGCTAGCTACCTAGCTAGCTACCTAGCTAGCTATCATTCTACTGTTCTATTGTTCTAACATTCTATCGTTCTATCTACAACCTATCTATTTCTGTTAGTAAGTTTACCTCTTGTTATTCCATCATCCCAGAATAAGTCTCCAGTTGCTTCTCCATTCTCATCTAAAGCAATTATAAGTCCCATAGGCTTTGTACGGCTGTTAAAAAACATATTGCGTTTATTGACCCAGATATTGATAGCTTCTATAATAAGACTACATTCTCATCCATTCTATTCTTCTAATGATATCATGAAATAATTGAGCATATAGGGATTTGTGATGGTTAAGGAGAATAATAATGGGGTGAAAGACTAATGTTTATTTGGAAATAAGTATCATTGTGTTAAATTAAGCTTTCTCACAGAAAATAAGCTAAATTGTTTCAACTGAGGTCTATTTACTATGAACCAAGGGGGACATCCCATCATAATCACAAAGCAATTATAGGTGTATGTTGTTATTTCCAATTATATCCCATTTTATTGCCCATACAGTAGTCAATGTGATTAGCAGCAATCAATTATATCACATGCATTTAAAATTTCACAATCTGTGCACTCATTTTGGCAGACAAATGCAAAGTCAACCAATCCCTTTCCAGTCAATGACTAGCATACAAATACAAATAAATGCAAATGTGTCTCTAATCAGCTTCTGGAGACCATATAGGCTGAAAAATGCTGCTAAAGCACCTGAAGGCAGGACAAGAAGCAATGGATGGAAACTAATCAAGGAAAGAACCAACCTAGAACTAAGAAGAAATTCCCTGGCAGGAGAACAATTAACCAATGGAATGACTTCCTCCAGACGTTGTGGTGCTGCAACACTGGAGGCTTTTAAGGAGAGATTGGACATTAATTTGTCTGAAATGGTATAGGTTTCCTGCCTGAGCAGTGGGTTGGACTAGAAGACCTCCAAGGTCTCTTCCAACTCTGTTATACTGTTATTCTGTTAAAATGTCCTTTCTACCATTGCTTTTTCTGTTTTAATCTAGATAGATATGAATATAGATATACAGAATATGCCAGAAATTATCTTGTGATATTATTCTTTAGGAAGTAATTGAAGTGTGAAAAATAATATAGGCACAAAGCTACTATAGGAGTGGTTGTATAATGCAAGCAAGATATTTATATGCCCTCCTTGACTCCCTTTTCACAAATAAATGCAAGAACACTACTCTCCCAAGTTCTTATCTTCTTTCAAAGGAACAAATTCTGTTTTCATCAGTTTGAAATGAGAACTAATAAAAAAACATGCAGAAAATTTCTCTCTATACCATTAGTTGTATGATCTCTGGACAAAAGTTTAAAGTTCTATATTTGGAAAAGAAATGTTAAATCCATCTGCAGGATTGGTTCATGCATTGTGAATATTTTGTCTTCCTCCAAACAATATTAATTGCTGTTACGGCCTATTATATCAGGTATTTGGACACAATAAGCTGAATCTATGCCAGAAAAATGAGATTTCCATAACATGTTGGGATTAGATTTTTAAGATTTTATCCAAGAACTGGAAAGTCTGCCCAAATTCCTAGATGACAGAAGAAAACTTTCAACCCTCTAGAATCCCTACGGACTGCCTATTAGGGTCTCCACTATGTCAAACTTAAGTAACCAATATTTTCTCTTGCTGTGTGATATTAACCAAGTTTTGTATTATTGTCACTAATATCCAAAAGAAGGACAATGGCTAAATTGTGCTGCATTGCATTTGTTTATCGTGAGGTTAAAGATCAACTTTCTTTTCTTTCTTATATAGTCTATTTATTCAGTGCATTAGACATATTAAATAGATGTCACAGCTGCATGTTTAAGAATCCACTAATATCAGAAAATACCTGTAAACAGTTGTGTTGGCTGGTTGTTGAATAGGAAAGATGTATCCTCCTCTAAGATGAAGTCCAAGTTTGTTTTCTGGAAGGAACATTTGACACTCTTGTTTTCTGCAAGGTGCTTTTATACCCTATTTTATAAGGAAATTAGAATAAAGGTTTACTATACTCATAAAATTGTTAGTACAAACTAGGATTGATAATACTACAAATGAAGAATAATGTATACATTCCTTTTATAATTGAAATAATTTTGTCAGAGGAAGAATCTCATGATTCTATTTGTGTATTTTGTATTATAGGACAGTGGTAGCAAACCTATGGCACGGGTGCCAGAGGTGGCACTCAGATTCCTTTCTGTGGGCACGCGCGTGCCATCGCCCCAGTCCTAGGCCTTCAGCTGGGTTTTATAAAACCTTTTCACTTTAGGCCTCCACCGCCGTGTGCAAAAAAAAAAAAAAGGTTCAATCAGTCAATTTCAACTTCTCGTGGGGAAAAAAAAGATCTTGCAAAGTTGAAATTGATTGATTGAACTTTTTAATCCCACCCAGTCTGCCGTTACCACCACAGCCATGCCCACCCAATGGGCCGTGCCCACCCAATGGGCCACGCCCACCCAATGGGCCACACCCACCCGGCACTCAACAATGCATAAGTGGGTTTTGGGTTGCAGTTTGGGCACTCAGTCTCTAAAAGGTTCACCATCATTGTTATAGGAAATGAAAAAAATGGTTAAAGTAATTCAGCTCTTCTATTCATATTGAGTAAATTCTACTGTCAAATTAATGGGGGGAGAGGAAACTGGGGGCATTCAACTTGACTCAATTTGAAATTTTTCTATGAACTTTACTCTCATATAGCCTTAATGTGCTTCTAAAAAAAAGATCGTATTGCAACTTATGTATTGTTTTTGTTTTTTTGGCAGAATAATATTAAAACATAAACTGCTCAATGCCCCACCCACTTCCTACAAAACTTTCTTGGAAAGGCTAGACAATTTGTTTGAAGTACTTCTTTTTTAATCATCAAAAGTAACCTGATTAAAGCAATGCTTCTGTGAAAGTGAAATATTCTCTTTGATCTGAAGTATCTAAGTATGTTGATTTGACCTTTTGTGTATACTGAGTATCCCTACAAAATTTTATGCAGCTCCAGATCTTTGCCCCATATGCATTTTATAGTGTATAAAAATGATACAGACTGCTATGCAGCAGAGTTAATTTGAAATATTAATAGTATATTTTTAGGGGAGACATTTTGTAATAATCATGCACTTACTGTCTCATACTCATACCACACAGCATCAGGAATGTATGCTGTTACCGTATCAACACCCTGAAATATTAAAAAGAAAATATTTCATTTATTAGCAACATCAAAGGGAAAATGCCTTGATATTATTAGATTCTTTTTCTAGGCTGGAGGTAGATGAGCATTAATTTTTTTCTCTTTGATTCTTTCCTGACTCTCTTACTGGAAAAATTATTTGTCAAACATTTTCTTCCATATTATAATGTCAATTACTATTTCCACCACAAAATGCCCTAAAATGATTGTAGACTTGGAAGATTTGGAGAATGAAAAGTGATTATCAAGCTGTCATTAGCATATGCTGGTGGATTTTCATTGTGGCAGGAATAGTGTAGTTTTTGAAGCAATAATGAAACAGGAAGGAAGGAAAGAAGGAAAAGAAAGAAAGAAATAAAAAAGAAAGAAAGAAAGAAAGGAAGAAAAAGAAAGAAAGAAAGAAAGAAAGAAAGAAAGAAAGAAAGAAAGAAAGAAAGAAAGAAAGAAAGAAAGATGATTTATTTTATTCCATCAAATAGAAACATACTAACACAATAACTTAATATTTGGCTTCCTCTAAAACCATTTGCTAGATTTCCTTTAGCTAAACAAAGGGTGAATGTACTACTTGAAGTTTGAAGAGCTAACATTACTTGAAAAGCAACTGTACTTTTGTTCACACAAAATGTCAGGTCTGCCATCTTTGGCTTGATGCCTCACTGGCATCCTGCCATCAAAGGCTAGGGAATAGGGGACATGATGTGGATGAACAAATGGTCAATATGTGATGGGAAAATCAGTAGTGATGGGAAATAGGGAGTGACAGCTTGACAAAGAACAGAAAAGCTGAGAACCAGTAAGTGCCAGCACTCAAGACCATGCTGCTTGAAAAGAAATGTGGATTACCCCAAACATCTCAGCTTTCTCAAAACACATAGGCAAACTGGTCATGGGAGGAGAACTGGTTTGAAGGGAAAACTTCTGTATCTTTTTAGTGCAGGAAATTTAGTTCTAGCCTGACTTTACTGTAGCCAACATCTTTTAATAAATGAACCTTAGTGAAGTTGGTTTATCTCAGTTCCTAGAAAGAAAGGATTCCTTAGTCTGACCCCGTCCCGACAGTGTTTTCCTCTATCCTTCCTTGATACTACTTTTTCCTGTACGAGTAGAGAAAGTGAGTTAATAAATTTAATAAAATAATGAAGATGAGAAAATAAATAGTGAATTGTCTCTAACACTACGTCCGAATCGTACAGCTTACTGCAAAACAAAGAGTTATGTATATTGCAACTTAATAAAAATTAAATATACCGGATCTAAGACTGGAGTAATAAGTAATCCAGGTCCCCACAAGAATTGTCTGTCTATGCTCCAGGTAGCTTCATCAGAGTAGAATCTAAAGAAATATTACAGTATTAAAGTTATGTTTTTATGATTGGTGAATCTTAAATAACTATGTATTGGAGACACTATTGACAATTTCAAGTATAACAATTTCAAGTAAAGAGAGGATTTCAGATTTTAAGACAACTCACAAGTTAATATTGCCACATGAAAAAAGTAGGATTAGAAACTTAGTTATGCTTTAATGAAATCAACCATTTGGATTCAATATACAATATATTCTTAAACATTGTCTATTAAGGCTTTTTAATATTCCATGCATTAATGAAGCTGAAACACTTTTAGCTTTGTCACTCAGACCGTATTTTGGATTACTACATAAATATTGATATAAGCAGATTTATACACTATATCTCTTTCTTCTGCCTCATTGATGGCTGTAAGGTCATAAGCTACTTTATACATGAAATTGTGTCTCTGTGTATGCATATAAATATGCATTCTATTTGCATATTCTATTTTATCTATGTAAATGCCCTGGTTTTCATTGTGCCATCATCTAACACCAATGTTTTACATCCTATCTGTCTTTTCTTGCTTTGATTAAATTCAGATACCAGGCATTGCAAAGGAACTCGTTTTCTTGTATAGGAAACAAAGGCAAGTAAGGAGACATAAGAATGAAGAAAAACTTTGTGCTCGAAAGCAACAAAAGCAGTAGTACTATCTACTACCTTAAAAATAAAATCAGATTAAATACATCATCAAAATAAACGAGAAAAAAAATCCTTCAGCATTCTGAGAATAAGGTAGAAAAGTAAGAGCTCTTTTGCAATGGAAGAAAATTTCTGAATGATCGCAAAGGCAGATTTTAACACAGCTTTAGTGCCTACAAAAATATTCCCAGAATGTCAGGAAATGCTTATGATGTTCTGAACAAATTCCAGATATCTTCAAGCATCAGTGAGCTCTAGGCATGGAGATGTTTTTTAAAAAAATATTTTTCAGCAGTTTAGCTTGCTGGAAACTAAGAGTACTTCTCCTGGAGTTTATTAACTGCACATCCTATAATGATTAATTATGATAACTGTCTATTTATTCCTGTGAGAATAAGCCTTATACTGTACATTGCTATAATCCTCCCAGTGAAATGGAAATGAATCTAGCACTATGCTCTTCAGCTATGCTCTTCAGAACACCAAAGCTTGCTTGCTTATTGTTTGTTTGTTTGTTTGTTTGTTTGTTTGTTTGTTTATATTTTGAGGCTACCCAATTGAAGAACATGTTGTATCCAATCTCAAGCATTGCAATGTGGCTCCTTAAATCCTCAGGTCACATCTGATAATATTTAACATTTGATTGTTCTAAAGTTCCAGCACAAGAGAGGCATACTACTTTCTTGTTTTAAAACTTTTATAAAATTTAAAATCTGTATAACTTTCATCTGTGACAAGACTTTTAAAGAATTTAATTTTCTAAGAATCTGAAATAATATTGAGATCAACTTCTTGAGTCTATAAAGGCTAATAAGTACATTCTAAAATGTCTGGGCATATGTGTGTCTGTCTATGTGTCTATTTGTGTAAGACATAAATATAAATATATGGATACATAAATATGGGAAGTGTAAAGTTATTTCCCATCACCCGAAATCTTAAAAGCATGAACTTACTCATGTAGAACAGGTCTTGCAACTGTCTCTCCCCGGGCATGTGCTTTATAAAACAGGGTATAGAGATATGGCAACAAAGTATAACGTATTGTCAAGTAGTGTTTCGTTGAATTCACCAAAAGTGAATTGTGTCCAAAATATGCTGGATCTTTAGGCTAGAAATAAATATTTAAAAAATTAATGGGGAAAAAAAAGCCTTCAAACAATTAGAAGCTAGATCAATTTTAAAATTGGTCTTACAGCATATGCTGCAGCATTGTGATTCCTAGAAAATGGGTAAAATGCTCCAAGTTGCAACCATCGTCTACAAAGTTCTTCTGAGACGTCTTCAAGGAACCCACAAATATCTGCCCCAATCTAAAATAGAAGCATATTAAAAATTATTGACATACTGTATGGTATATCTGCATAAGATGTGATGCTACCGTATCTACAACTTCTACATTAATCAGTTCTCAGATGACCAATATAAATTGATTCACACTGGTCTTTGATAGAGGTTCAAAAAAAAATTCTAAATCATGTTTGGCTGATTGAGCAAAAAGAAATAGGATACAATGCAATGAGATGAGCTATTACTATATATGTAAATATTTGTATCTGACTTTTCTAAATTTATGTATATGTATACATACATATTCATACACACACACACACACACACACATATATATATATATATATATGTGTGTGTGTGTGTGTGTGTGTGTTCTTTAAAATTCTAAAAATTGGAGGATGACTCCTGGGTAAATTCATGTTCGAAGGGTTACAAACAGTGAGACCACCAGGAGGTTGAAAAAATTACAAAAGTTTATTACTATTAAAACATTAAAACACCTAGCTTTCGCCGGCCTCCTGCCGGCTTCGTCAGGGTGACTAGCCATCAGTGGGGTAGCTGTTTTTATAGGAGCGGTGCCTTTTGCACCCAGCTCCTAGATCTCGTGACCGGGCCCCGATAATCCTCTTGCGTTAAACTCTTAGTCGTTCTTCCGCATACTGCTACGCTCCTAACCTTCTCTTTCCCACCCCTTTTCTTTTCTTGCCTTATTTGCTCGTCAAGGGAGGGGGGAGGAGGCATCCCTCCATACAGGGCATCGTTTTGCTGTTTGCTACCTCCTTTCCTCTTTCCAGTTACCTGCGATCTCACCTTCTTCCTCTCTTCCTTCTTTCCCATGGTACTATCTAACTCATTCACCACTCGTACACCCACCACTCTCATCACTCCCTCCTTCTCATCCTCCTTGTGCCCACTCCTCTCCTTTTCATTAACCCTCTCCTGTTGTTCCTCTGGCATGGGGATATTCCCTCCTACATGGTTACCTTCCTGCCGTGCGTTCCCCCCATTCTTGATCTCCGTATCGCCTTTCCACGATCTTTCCCATTCCCTCCTCTCCTCTCCCTTTCTGGCCTCAGCTCTCCGGTTAGATCTTTCCTCCATGCACGTATGGGTGTCGGTTTACTCCTCTCCCTCTTTCCTCTGGTGGGGGGCCATTGGGGTGCGAAGGTATTCTCTCCCTCACAGCTCCCTGGTCCTGCCCTCCTCTCCTCGCCCTTTCTAACCTCCGTTCCCCCGTTCGATCTTTCCTCCGTGTGCACGTGAGTGCTGGTCTCTTCCTCCCCACCCTTTCTCAGGCGCGAGAGAGTGCTGGTCCCTTCCTCCCCACTCTTTCTCAGGCGCGAGGCTGTTGGGGG